TTCTGTCTGTAGCTTGAGAGCAAGCATGGTGCCAAAGCAACAACCAAAAAATTACAACGTCGTGGGGGGGGGCAGGGGTATAGGATTAGCTAAAATAAGGATTACAGCAAGTAAAGCCGAATTTAATTTTTAATACTTTCACTACACACATTTTGTGTATCTTCCTGTCTGTTTTTCAATTGTTTATGGGGAACGGGGAGTCAATAAACAGGCCATACAGCATTCGCGTCACTGGATTCGGTTCCGAACCATATCTGTCAACGTCTCTAACTAACGGCAGTCCTCATCTCGTGGACCCCAATCAAGTAGGTGGGAAGCACCGACCGAAGCTAACTTCTTCATACCCCAGCATCAAGTCATGGCCTGACCGCCACGTCATCTCTTTCCAGCCTTGCCAAGTACGCGCAAAAAGAGCATGGAAGCGTGAACGATAGGCAGGCACACACAAAATATGCCCGAGCCATCGGAGGCAGTGTAGAGCGACTACCTCGATTGCAGCACCGGGCAAAGGACGGCAAACCTCGTTATTGCCCACTCGATGTTCCCACAAGACACGAGCAATGATCCGGAGACACCGGTGGTCGGTTACAGAAAGCCGCCGAATATCCTCAACTCGAAGGGGCCGGGTCTCGCAACCGTAAAGAAGAACGCGACGAACTGTGGCACTGCATACCCTTCCCTTGAGAGAAAGCCGGATGTCTTGGCAGCAACACAGATGGCGAAGGTCCACGAAAGCTGCTTTGGCTCACTCAGTTCGTGATGTGATCTCCTCCCCAACACCACCGCCACCAGCTGTGATCAAGCTCCCGAGGTAATTAAAGCTATTGACTACCTCTGACTGATCACCACTGAGGTTGAGTGCAGGCATAGGCTTCTTCCAGTCTTGAAGAAGTACCTTGCATTTTGAAGGCGCAAAGCATATACCATATCGGAACACTTCAATCGCCACGCGGTCCAATGTGCATTGAATCGTCTGTGTACTGTCGCTCAGCAAGGTGATACCATGGGTGTACTTGAAGTCAAAAAACTCTGTTCCTTGGGAGCAGTTCAGGCCCACCGTTTGGAAGACCAGACAAAGCTTTCTATTGGACATCCTCTTTAGCGAAGTTGAAAAGAAACAAGGATATTGGGCAGCTTTGTCGTACTCCACTGGAGACGACAAATGGTAGCGACAGCTGGCCGTAATCTCTGATGAGACATGGGGTATGACGACACAACTCTTTAAGAACTGACACGTACTTCCCAGGCACACTATTCCTCAATAAGCACTGCTACAGTGCAGACCTGTCGACGGAGTCGAAGACCACGCGAATGTCTAGAAACACAACGATCGTTGGCCTTTGGAAGGCATAACGATGCTCTAACACCTTTTCGAGGGTAAAGATTTGATCGACGCATCCACGACCGGTCCGAAACACAGCCTGTTCCTCACGAGTTTGTTCATCAATCGTGTTGTATAACCTGCTAAGAATGACAGACACTAGCAGATTAGACGCTATCGGGATTAGGCTTATACCCCTACGGTTGGCGCAGTCACTGCGCGAGACCTTCTTGAAGATAAGGACAACCATTGATTCCCTTCACAAGGAGGAAACTTTCTCGAAGTGCCAGACCTTGAGAACAAAGATTGAAGTTATCTGACAGGCTCTATCCCGCCATTCCTAAATAGGACTTGGGAAAGTCCACCGGAGCCCGGCCCTTTATGACATCCCAGGGTTTGGATTTCCCTGAGGACCTCCGCCTCAGAATCTGTCGAAACAAACCACGGGACGTGTGTCGGAACAGCTATGGGAGAGGGCGACGCTGGAGGCCAGCTCAACTGTGATTCAAAGTGCTTCGCCCAGCGCACAAGACATCGCTGAAGACTGTGGATAGGCGAACCGTCAGCTTCACAGATTGTTTCGCTCACCTAAATAGTTTCCTACGGGCAACTCAAATGAAATGAAACAGCTTGCAGGAATTCCCCACAGCGGCAGCATGTTTCATCTCAGGTGCTTTTTGAGACCACCAGATTTCGCGATCCCTGCGCAGGCTTGTAATGAAGCAACGTCTCGCTGTGAGCCGTGTTGCATTGTGCTCACTACCAGCCGGGACGGGCTGGCGTGCATCGAGAAGGCGCTAAGACTCGGCAGAAATCCAGGATGTAACGACACGACGAGTCAGGCCATAAATCACTCTGGCAGCAGAATGCAAAACATTCTTAATAAGCGACCAGTGCTAACTGATGTTGTTTGGTGGCACTGATCTTAGCTTTTCAGCTAGAGCGTTTCGAAAAGTTCAGAGGCCAGACGGATCAGAGAGCATATTGCAGTCTAACCGCTGCTGCATCGTACGTTTGGCACACCCACCGAAGCACATGGACAACTTAGTGAAGACTAATGCGGGGTCGGAGTCGACAGGGGAGTGCTTCAGTACGGCCGGCAGTCTGGTACGCAGCTAATTGGGGAGGGAAGGGCCCAGCGTCAAGGCCCTCAAGATCTCCAGATTTAACTCCGTTAGATTTTTCCTTATGGGGCTGTCAAGAAAAGTCTGCGACCCCAAGCCAAAAACTCTGGATGGATTGAAGACCCGAATTTAATCCGTTTGCAAAAAGACTAAACTGCGATACTGGCGAGTGTTCACGGGAGCAAGGTTCGGCGTCTACAGATTCGCATGGCACAGGACGGTGGTGTGCCTTAACATTCATTACAACGGGACCCACAGCGCAAACTTTCACTGGAGAACGATATACCAGTTCTCAGAACTAGAGAACAATTACTCGGTCTTTTTAAAAACGAAAACAACTTGATTGTTCATTTCACAATCAATTTCGTCTTATTGCTATTCAGGTTTACTACCGTTGAGGTTTGTTAGTTTTCACTCGGGATAGTTGTGGTGTATATTTGTGGCTGCATGAATGCGCGTGGGCATGTGTGAGCTGACTGTAACACACAAACAGTGATGAGATAATCTTGTGTATATCCAAGTGAACCCAGTTCCTGGAAGAGTTTCGAGCACCGGAAGGTGTGTGTATATGGCCAAGAAACCAATTGTGCTTGAACATGAATGTGTGCGGCGGCCTAAAGTTGACTGATGCGACTGCTTCGCTTACGTTGACGGGGTCGTTGGGGCGCACAATGGAGTGCGTTCATTCAGTTTTGTCTATGCCCACCACCATGTTAAGCGGTGACTGCGTGATCAAATACGGTGGTGATAACCTTGATCTATCGTAATTTATGTTGTCACATGATAAGGAAACAATTATCACCATATCTTTCGAAAAGTGGGTTAGATGTATCACAATAGAGGTTCCATGAGTGTCTGTGTGGGCACGGTGCAGGATGGGGATTTAGCAATGGTCATCTAATGTAACAGAAAACACGATGTAGATCTGGATCATTCTCTCCTACTAGCGAGACTGAGGATATATTTATCATCTACTTATGAAGCACACATGGACCCAAAACACCAACTTCTCAGCCTAGAGTATGCCCCTGACGACAGATATCTCACAGCCGTTGTTTCACGATCCTCTTTCATTTATTACCAATCCCATAGTTGCGTTAGTCTCTTTACTAGCACCACAAAGGCCACCTGTGACCCCTGCTGCACCGCAGAAACTATTTTGTGTCCAATGGCAGATTAGACTCACCCCACCAAAAGTCCATATTTAAGATGAAGGAGTGTACCAAAAATTATATGATGATACTGGCGTAAACCACCAGTTAGATTTTTTGGATGTTGTGAATCACGTATATTTCGTCACGTTCCTTTTAGGCATGATGAGAAATCCCCTGCAGCGAACCCCGTGTAAGGTTAATACAATGTGCAAATGATTCGAACAGGTAAGTTTTAGACGGTGAATTACAAATAAATGATGAGAGAAAACAGATCGTCTAATAAGTTATTCATTAAAGCCTAAAAATAGACTTCAAAAATAGCATATGTGGGGTAGAGACAGTGATAGGATGATACGCTGAAGAACTTCTGTCGTTGAAAGCAGTTAAAACGTTGTGACCCTGACCACGTGTTAATTATTCGTGACTGGTTAAAGAATCAGATAAATGCCCCCCGGTGGACGATGGGCTACCGTCTATATCTAACATATTTGGAATTTTTTCTTGTTACGCATTCAAATGCACCAGTACAGTCCCGACTACAAATACCAGCGGCTTAACATATCCTATAAAATGAAAAACAAAGTACTGCATGGCATATATTTGTATTAAATGGGACACTCAAGTGACGAAAGTCAAGCTGAATGGACCACTTTTTCTCATCTCCGAGGACGTTCGATGCAATAGAAGTCTTTGAACACACAAGTCCAGAGTATTAGATTGCATGGTATATCTTCCAGGCAATGAACCTGCCTTCGCATCCTGGATGGCGCTCTAGCATTATCCAGGGTATTTTTACGGAACAAAAGCTGGTCGTATAAACATGTTACCGCTGAGGATGAAATGAGAGCAAAACCAGTTTGCACCCCTGGCGAAGACCCATCTGAGCCACTGACCTTAGCACACTTCATCTTCATTAGTACCCCATATACTTAGAAGGAATATATCACCTATAAACTGGTAGGTTTAAGTTTAGTGTGGAGCCTAGAGCCATTATTCGACATTAAATACCGATCAAGCCCACCAATTTGTTTCTTTATCCAATTTTCGAGTACACCTTTCTAACTGACTTTATTATTTACTTTGCGGTATGCGCTTCATTTTGCCTCCTAATAAGGTATTGAGCAGTAAGCTGAGAAATTCGACCGCCCTAGGATGTATACACATTTTTTGTCCACACTACAAGAATGAGAGACAATGTCATCATTACCAATTCCAATAAAAGTCACACATGGTTTCGAAAGGGTACACCAATGGATAAACAACAAACAGAGTATAACCGATACAGTATTTCATGAGTAGAATGTTTTGAGGTTGCAGAAATTAAAATGAACTTACGCCAACTGACAGAGAGAGAAAAGTGCTTCCCCGCGAAAACCAAAGGTTGTCACGCTGGCCAAATCTTCAAATGAGCGCAGTTTTGAAGTGCAGTGCTTTTTAGCTATATACTAGCTGGGTAAAAAACAATAACTCACTTATCCTTTCAAATTGAGCTTCTTCGATCCCAAGACCATTATCCACCACCTCAATAGATTCGCAACTATAATCCTTGAGACGGATATCTAAAGATGAGGAGAGATAAAACAACTCAGACAGAACAAAAAACTACCTATTTTTGTTGCTTCCGCATCGATGCTATTTTCCAGCAATTCTTTGATAGCAGAAGCCAGTGTTACCACGACCTGACCTGCACATATTTTATTCACGATTGCCTTACCAAGAGGAGACATTGATCTTTCAGACATGGATGTCTAAAAGCAGTGATCTGCAATAAGAAAAACAAAATGATAAAACCACATAAACAAATTAGGGTACGTTTTTCTCAGCATGTACCACGGAAAGTCATTTCGAATGTTCCGTAAGGTAGGCAAAACGGGGGCTAACCAAGGATGCCAGTTAAGCCGACACACAGTTAGTTGCTATTAACTGTACGGTTGCGGACTCCCGAAGAAACATACAAATGGTCATCTGGACAGCTCCGTGTCGGGTCACCGGAGTATGTGACCAAACCACCGCAGGCGGCGGCGCTGAAGAAGGACAGAGAGTTGGTCAATGTCACAGCATCATCTCCTTCTTCCGTCGTTTTATAGCATCTCCTGCCAGTTTGTACAAAAAATTCGGCAAAAATACCAGGGGTCGGACAACTCCAGCTTTCTGGCACCTTCAGCTCGTGGTGGCCAGGTTTCATACCCCTATGTGCGCACGGATCAGATAGCGGCACAGAAAACGAGGGTCTTGGATCGAAGGCTGATTTTGTTGTGACCATGGCACACACTCAAGATGAAGAAACGTTCTCCGTATAATGCTAATCCTCGGTAGCACTTCATCCCTCGTCTGGCCATTCGGAAGCAGAGTTGACCCTAGATATCTGAGGGATGGCACGCATTCAATTGCCTGACCACTGAGGGAGAACTTCTGTGCTGATGACCCAAAGCAAGTCGAGAGATCCTTCGTTCTCGATAAATGGATTCTGAGACCAACGGTCGTCGAAGAGCAACTGAGTCGGTCCAGGACGCAATGGCGCAATGAGTATCACGCTGGTGTGATGTGACAAATGCTAAATCCTTCAAAAATATACAGCTGTTGTTGCGAAACATTGATCAGGTAAATTTATGACCGTTTTGGAACTGCGTCGCACTCATGTTTTCGACTCGGCTTTCCCGATATCTCCTTAGTGCTCGTACGCTGAATGCATCGGTTATGGCTAACAGTCGCAAGTGGTACGAGCAGACTGTCACAGCTCTGTGGCAAATTTTTGAGAATCGTGATCTTCGTTCCCACAGAATATCTAACGTTGACTGAATCCCCGGCATATTCAGTTTATTTATGAAATTCTGCAAACAGGATATACTGTAATTATTCTAGCATCAAGTCAGGTCAGATCAGTCACATATTCGACGAATTTTCGGTCAGTGAACTTAGGTACCCTTGCAGATAAATCCTGTTAAGTGTGCAATTGACCGTACTCCATGGCCTTCATAAGTTACTTTCTGAGGTGTTTAGCCTTCGGAGACCAACCTGGACTGTCACCATTAGCTATCTTTTTATCTGGCTTGTATTCTACGTCCAGTAATGCTTGTCGTCGTTGACAAAGTCGACTTCGCATTTGAAGCGTGTGATAAGGATGTATATGGTAATGGGCTATTGCTACGAGTATGCTTTCGTGATCCTGCGCTATCCGTGGTGCCGCCATGACATCCGACTTTCCCTCGAGTAAGGCATGTGGGGTGCCCCAGTTCGTTATGTTCTTTACGTTGCGAGACCCGGTTCCTCCGCGTTGAGGGTACTCGACGACTCTCTCCATTCGACCATCAATATCTCCGAAGCATTGTTCATGTCTGGTGGGAGCATCGGGTTAGCAATGACAATGTACCTCGTGGTGTGTTCGGTGTTGATAGTCGCCCCTTGACCGAGATAAAAATTCTACATCACCTCCAACGGCTCGAACATGTTTTGCGCATGCCTACCCGTCGTTTCCCTTTTCGTCCTCTTTTTGCACGTGCTAGATAAGGCTGTAAGAGGCAGTGCGGCGGTCAGGCCATGACTTGGCACAGGGGCATGAAAAGCACAGCTTCAGCTTTGACTTCGGTTGGTGCTTAACGCCTTCCCGGTTAGAATTCAAAAGATGAGGATTGCCGTTGACTGAAAACGCTAGGAGATATGGCTTGGAGCCGAATCCAGTGGCGTGGGTGCTACAAGCCCTGTCTGTTGACTTCCGGCTCTTCATAAACAAATGAAAAACGGACAAAAAATTTACAAAACGTGTACGGTGAAAATATCAAGAAAATTGCTTTAGTTGTTATAGTCTGAATACTAACTAATAACCCCCGCCTCCTGACTTTGTTTATTTCTGTTGTTGTTGCGTTGGCGTCATGAATGTTTTCGACCAGGTGTATATATACATATATATATATATAAACCCCAGCTTCGCGCAGACAATAATGGAACAAACAGGGGCTATTATAACAAAGAAAGCAGAAGGTGAGCTTCATAAGAGTAGATAAGTGTCGGAGGTTTAATACACCAAGGTAGGCAAAGCGAATTGCAGGTTTTTCAGAAGAACGAGCAACGCTCAATGTTCAGGATGCGTTTTGAACCTTCAAAATGCGAGGTATTGCTACAGGTCCAACAACGGTTCTGGATTAGAAAGTGTTCAGTTCAGTTCAGTTCAGTTTGCAAAGGACTTGGTGTGGCTAGAGCCAATCATGTGTCCAGATAGTTGTGTTGTCGGCGCGTTTTCGTAGCTCCCAACACTGCGTGATTTTCTTTTTCTGAAAGGCAGAAATTTTGTGCAGTATCAGCCCTGGCAGTGTAAGGTGGAAACAATAAGCAATTTGCATCTGACCCTAAAAGCTGCTTAACATAACTCGGGGTATACTGCCACCCAACACAGGTCTGCTGCTTTCTTAAAAGCCTTCACGGTTATGGTATTTATGACCTCTTCCGGGAGATTATTCCAATAGGGCACCACTCTATTTGAGAAGTACTTCGCCCTAATTTGGAGCCTCAAATGCTTCCTTTGTAATCTAAGGTTATGCTCCCTTGTGCCTCTCTCGGGGATCAGAGAGTAAAGGTCCTCTCGTCTTATTCCTGACAGTCTATAGTATAGTATAGTATATTTCTTGACCGTGGTCAATACACATGCATAAGGCAAGATCAGAGTGTACAGCAGTACATGTCAATGTAAGGTATTCACAAATTCTAAATTTATAAATCACACAGCAACCGAAATGCACCAGTAAAGTCATGTAGTGTTTCAGTGAAAAAAGTGGTAATGGTTGGGGCGGGAATTCCGATTCGGTTTCGAAATCACTGGAGGGCGGTGTGGATAGCTGGACAGTCATGGGATTGCTGGTATAAGACACAAATGGACGGTCAATAACAAGTAACCGGGCGGAAGAGATGCCAAAGAAAATTGTTAGAAGTAAGGCAAGCGTGGGGCTTTCAAAGTGCAGTCAGAGATACCAGCGGAATATTGGACACTGATCCAGCATTGGGTAACTAATTGTGGAGGAAGCATGTGAAATAAAGGCAAGTGAGTCAAAGGTGATAATAAAACGGACCTTTTGTGCAGATGATTACAGTGTCATATGGAAATTCAAATGAAGGCGAAAAGCTTCGCAGGGACCTTTTTATCACCGCACGCTCCTCCACCCATCTTAGTTTGCTAGTGTTGTCTTAGATATTGTTGACATTAATATAGTGTACGATATAAACAGAGTAGTACGCTACAAATCTAAGGCTATGCCCCCTTGTGCCTCTCTCGGGGATCAGAGAGAAAAGGTCCTCTCGTCCCATTCCTGACAGTCCTTTCATTACCTTGAAGGTTTCTATCAAATCCCCGCGAATGCGCCGTCTTTCCATCGAGAATAGGTCTAGGGCACGGAGACGCTCTGTGTAGTTAAACCCTCTTTGTTCAGCCACCATTCTAGTGGCTAGCCCTTGCACTTTCTCCAGACAGTCGATATCTTTCTGGTAGTACGGTGCTCAGGCCTGCACGCAGTACTCAATATGCGGCCTAACTATGGCCTGAAATACCGGAACGAAAATCTCCGGATCTCTACACGACATTATGGATCTAACTCGAAAGAGTTCTCTCCTGACCGTATTGGCTGCTGAGGTGCACTGCTTTGGCGGCTTAAAGCTGTTGTCCATGATAACGCCCAAGTCTTTGGCCTGCGAGACCACTGGCAACGAACCCACACCATTCCCACTAGCCCCTGTATTTGTGGTCAAGCGTTGACGCCTGGTGAGGTTTAGTGGAAGGTCCCATTTGCGTGCCCAGCTTTGTACTGCCAAAACGTTAAGTTCTATATCTACTCCAGCTATCTTGACGTCATCGGCAAACATAAAGGTGGGGTTTGTAAGCCCACGTGCTAGGTCGTTGATGAAGATGAGGAAGAGCAGAGGGCCGAGCACCGAGCCCTGTGGGACTCCGCTTGTTACACCTTACGGCTTTGAAACATGACTCCCACCTTAACAATAAAGGTTCGCCCTGCTAAGAAACTACTTATCCATTGTCTTGCCTTTCCAACAATTCTCATAGACTGCAGTTTGACGTCCAGAAATCTGTGGTTCACAGAATCAAACGCCTTGCTGAAGTCCAAGTAACAGACCGCAATCGGGTTCAGGTAAACAAGTTTTTTCTTATTTGCATTTCATCGGGGGTTAGATGATGCGGGAAGTGTCTTGGTGTATACGGGGAATGCGTTTGACTTTTGCCGAACTCATTCATCTATAACGTCAACGAGGCATCCGTTTGTTTACCAAATGGAATTCTCTGCAACAGCTGCACCAGTTTTGTACGGTTTGGAAATGCGACCACTGCAGGTTCACACAAGATAGTGCTTACCCTGAAATCGATGTGGTGGCTGTGGCTACTATCTCCGAACGGTGACCTCAACAGGAAACGATGGACAAGAACAAGACTGTAAAAGCAGTAATCGGAAAACAACAGTTATTGGTGTCAAGTCTACACAGAAATCGGTGTGGTGGCTTTAGTTGCTATCTCCCTGGGGCAATCTTGAAAGGGAAGAAGGAAGGAGAAAAGGGTACGAAAGAAATAAGAGCAAAACTACAATAATGGAGTTAAGTCGATAAGGGACGTTTTTGGATGCAAGAGCGCCACTGATCGCGGCATGTACCCATATCTCCCAACGTATCCAACCATTGAGTGGGAGGGTCTCTTGGACCCCATCCACGGGGTCCAAAACGTCCCACATGGCCAACT